CGACATTATCAACATTATAGTGTCAGTTGCAATAACATTTCCCTTTTAAAATAATAATTCTATAATCAAACATTGAACCCAAAATCACCTAAAGAACCTGTTTCGCAGGTTTGATCCCTACATAGTATCACAATTAATATAATACTAGTATAGTACCTACAATATTTTTATTGTTTTAATAGACACAGATTACAGGAAAGTAAATAAAAAATTCACAAATAATTTTGTACCTGAATTTGACAGTTCTCTATCCAACGTTACGGTTATCTGACACGGGTTTAAAAATTCTACAGTAAAAATAAGTTAAATATTACTCGTTCAAAATATTCGTGAATTCATAAATATAAATAATAATCTTTCAGTTAAAATAATTAAAAAAGAAAATTTAAATTCATTAAACGCATGTAACTTTATGATTCAAAGCACAAACTCTTTAAGCCTTAATTCAAATTCAAACTTAAGCTTTTTATTAGCTGAATTGCAACTTTTGCACCAATTACCTTTACCCAAATACCTATAACAATATGTCTGAAGTAAAAATACTAATTGTAAATTATCATTTTTTATGAAATAGCTTTGAGACCATAATGCAATCCTGTTACTCGTATAAACTGTGCCTTCACTTCAGTCAAGTTAACATTATTACTCTAATTTAACACAACAATTTAATAAATTATCGAAATTTCTCATTTAAGAGTCTGTTAGTAGTTTGGACCAACTTGCTTCTTCTTTTTTTCCCTACCCATTTTTCCCATTATTTGGGGTCGACTCTTCTTGTTCTGAGGCGCCACGACAGTCTGTCCTGGGTTTTCAAAATGTTTGTCTGGGCACGCTCTAATTCCTTGAGCACCGTGAACCGCCAGTCCCACTTGCACTATGTGATTTTAGGGCGTTTTGAAGACGTTTATCGTTAATCTCTGGATGAAATAAAGTAACTAAGTTCATATTCAAATCTTAAATCTCAAAATATCAATAGCAGTTTAATCTTGTTTATTCGTTCGTTCGTTCGGTTCAGCCAAATGACGTCCACTGCTGGACAAAGGCCTCTCCCAAGGTTTTCCACAATGAACGGTCCTGTGCTGCCCGCATCCAGGCTCTTCCCGCGACCTTTACCAGATCGTCGGTCCACCTAATCTTGTTTATATGATAGCTGAAAGCTTAAACTTGCCTTGGTTGTCCTAAAAGTAACGCATATTTTATGTTCGCAAATAAAAGAGTTTTGATTTGATTTGATTTAACACACGTAGGACCCTTAACAAATTGAATTTCACTCAACAAGAATAACCTTACAGTGTGTGCTGTATGTGGCTGTATTATCAAGTAATTGAACGTTTAACAAAAAATCAATTTGGGACCATGAACGCGCATTACGGTTCGAGTTTTGATGGTGCGTCGATAATGGTGCTAACTACCAATTTTCGTAATTGTTGTAAAGGATTACTTCTACACGCCCGTTAAAAGAAGGGTAAGAAGGTAAGTATTGTTTTTGTATACTTATTATGAAATACCTACTTAATCATATCAATAGACCGGTAATATTTTTTAAACTTTCGTGGACAACTAGATACCTAGTTCTTGTATTCACTATTCAAGTCATAAACCACGTGTACTACTAAACAGATTCCTGCAAAAAACGGGATGTCACTGTGTGGGAACAATCCCTTACACTAGGTTTTTTCCGTAGGTACTTTGCCTAAGCGCTTTTCGCGATAATTTTTCGTCAGATGTAAACAGAGTGTACCTATAGTAATTAATTAATAAATCTGTACAATTTTAAGTTTATTCTCCCAAAACTCCTTTCAGAATTTTAAAACATTTCACAAAATAGTTTCGACTAAGTACCTACCTACCTATTAGTACAATATTATTACTTGTGTAGGTATCTATCTAACTGTTTATTTCGTCCATCTTTTCGTCCCTCTAATGAATAATCGCGTGATTAAATTTAAACCATTGCTTAGCTAAACAAGCCGAGCGAGGGATTTTTGACGCCGCCGAGTAAGCCCCACTCTCATTTCACTTTTTTACATACGAAATTAATTCTCATGGTATGGTGTAGAGACAGCAAAAGAAACTATGCATATTGTCATTTTATAGACCAAAATCTTAAGGTCCTTTTAAAGTTTTGAGAAACTGATTGCTAATGATATTCAGAGACCACCATTAATTGAGTTTAAACGCTAAGTTACAGCTTAAGATTCTTTCAGTTAAAAAAAAGGAATTCTTTTTAAATTTTCTTCTTATCACTTCGATTGAACATCGAAAGAAGAATTCTCCTTTTACTCAAAAACATGTAAAGATGAAAATTAACGTACGCTTCCAGAAGCTCCAGATCAAGAAACTTGTTTTTTTATTTTTATTNATGTAGTGGTGTTCAAGGGAATCAAATGCCTTGTTGAAATCCACGAAACCCAAGTAGTATATTTTGTTGTATTCCCTGTATTTCTGAAGTATCTGGCGTAGGACGTGTATGTGGTCAATGGTCGAGAAGTTGCTCCTAAATCCAGCCTGCTCCTTTGGCTGGTTTTCATCAAGCGTGTTAGTTAATCTAGACAATATTATTTTAGAAAATACTTTATATATATTAGACATTAAGCTTATTGGTCTGTAATTGTTAATATCTCCTTTGTCTCCTTTTTTGTGCAGCAAAACTATCATTGATTTCGTCCAATCTTCTGGGATAACTTCTGCTGTTAAGATTTCGTTGAACAAATCAGTTAATTTCGGGACGATTACTGGCATGGATATTTTAAGAAGTTCATTGGTGATTTGATCAGGACCAGGTGCTTTTCCTAGCTTCTGCGTAGTAATTGCTCTTTCTGTTTCTTCTTTTAGAATTGGTGGTATAGGTTCAGTATCTTGCGTGTTTTCTGTCATAGCCGTAGTAAGTTTGCTATTTTTGCTTTTGTACAGCTCTCTATAATATTCGGTAGCAATATTTAATATATCTGATCTTTTTGCAGTACTTCTTCCTTTTTTATCTTTCATGTTTGGCATCCAGTTCTTTTTGGATTCTAATTCTTTGAACGCTTTCTTTACTCCGCCAGTTTTCTTTATATGATATTGGAAAGTATTTTCTCTTTTTTGCTTTCTATCTTTTCTTATACTTTTGTTGATATCTTTGCTTATTTCCGCGATCTCTTTCCGTGTTTCATTATTTTTCTTGTCTTTTAAAAGTAATTTTCTTTCTGTGAGTAATTTAATTGTTTCGGCAGATAGTATGGCTTTATTATTTGTAGACACTTTTCGAGCTTCAGTTTTGAGAGTATTTACAAACTCGCAGTATGTCACCTCAATTGACTTATTATATTCCTTTTCTTCTCTTCTCTCTAGAATTTTCTTTAGACTGTTTTTTATCTCTGCGTTATTTTTAATGCTCACGTAGGGAACCGATTCAGTGTGTAGCCTTCGACTTTTCTTTGTATATGATCCTCTTAACGTAGCACGGACCATTTTATGGTCCGAGTTAAAATTTAAATTGTGTAAAATTGATAGATTTTTAAAGACTTTAGGTTTATTGGTCATGATGTAATCTATTTCATTTTTAAAGAGTCCGTTTGGAGAGGTCCACGTCCATTTCTTGTTCTTTTTCTTTTTGAAGAAACTATTCAGGATACTTAGTTTGTTTTCTAAACCGAAGTTAACCAATCTTTGTCCATTTTTGCTCCTGTTACCATTACCGTGTCTTCCTACAGTGTACTCTTCGCCACTTTGTAATTCCCCAATTTGTCCATTAAAATCACCCATTATTATTATATTTTTGTGAGCAGTGTCAACAGTACTTTGCAATTTTTGGTAGAATTCTTCTATTTTGTTTATATCTTGTTTTTTGTCTGCTTCGGTTGGCGAGTAAACCTGGATGATTGACCATAATTCATCTCTGCTATTTTGTACTGGAAGTTTGATGTTGAGTAGTGCTATTCTCTCGGATATGCCTTTCAATTCCTCGATTCGTTCGGTATATTTCTTCTTTATCAAAAATCCAACACCGAATTGCCCTGGTGTTTCTCCTTTGTAATGCAGTATATAATTTCCGTGGTCTTCAATTTCTTCTCCTAGTCTTCTCAAGGTTCTCAGGTTAAAAAAAAGTGATTTATATGGTACACAATAAAACAAACTACANAGTTGTATACCATCTCGATTTTCTATTCCATCTGTGGTAGTCTGTAGTGGCGTGTCGATAGATGTCGCCACACTTCTAAGAACGAACCGACGACGGCAGATCAAACTTTACTGACTGACCCCTTACTAATAAAAAGTTACATAGTTGTTAAACACTGTTTTAAAATGACATTTCCATACTAAACGTCACTTTATAACACTGTTCAACGAGCGTGTAAGTTTTCTTCCGCCACTTCTTTTCGACACTGGTCCATATGTTTTCCCAAAGTGGTGGTAGCAAGTTATATTTGGAACGTGTTTACATGGAATCAAATCAAATTGTTTATTTATGCAAGAGCAGTTTTACTTGTGCAAGTGCCTTGGAAAGCCTACATACTAATAAACATTTTGATTTTACACCTTGATATTGTTTTGTTGCTAAAAACAACACCAAAGATGCGATTTTTCCAATGCTCATTCCCCCGGTTTTTGCATAAAGGATATCTTGCAACAAAAATGTAGTCTAAAGGCTATATTTCACCGGGACACCATGGCGGCGCAACCAGTCGCGGCTACCAACAAAATGTATACAGCTCTATAGAGAGTTACTCACCTGGTGTCCGTTTGGTTGCGCAAAGCTGCATACATTTTGTTGGTAGCGGCGACTGGTTGCGCCGCCATGGTGTCCCGGTGAAATATAGCCCTAAGGCCCGGTTTCCACCTAGACGGAGCGGTTTTGAATAACCAATCGGATTTCATTATTTTCACATCTCTTCTCCGCCTCGCCTTGGTGGAACCAAGCCTTATATTACCTAAAAATCGTTTCACATAGTCGCCGGCTCTCTTTCTAAACTTAAAGGCAATGTTTTTCTAATAAATCAAACATCTTTTCTAACCAGGTGGTGTCATCCGCGGGCACGGTGTGCGTTCGCTACATAGTGTCATACGTGCACTCGCCGCGCCTCATACCAGTCATCGTGACCAACCAGACCACAAACAAGTCTAAAGAAATCCGCTCCACGCTCAGGTGAGAACCGTTCCCCAGTAAAGTGCCCCATAAGGGCTACCTTTTCAAAGATAAAAAAAGATAAAAGATCAATTATTCACCGAGACAAGGCAATACAACAAGGTAGATGTTACAATATGTTTCTTTTTATTGTTTGCTATATTTGACGTTCATGAGTGCCACTTGTGGTCCAAACTGAATAAATATTTTTGATTTTGTTCAAACTCTATTTGCTAGCTTTTTCTGTGGCTTCGCCCGCCTGAATTTCGTTTAGTCACAGAAAGGTATATTTTCGGGATAATGCATATTGAATTTCACGCAAAATAGACAATTCGCGAACGAAATTAGAGCTCTCTATCGAAAACTTTAGAAACAAAAATTCTGACAATCTGGGGGCACGGCAGTGCTCCCACCAAGTCGAGCAAAAAAGCAACACGGCCGTACCATCCTTTTCTCGAAACAATTCAGGCCATTTTCGACCAGTAGGTAATACCAAGTCCAGGCCAGGAAATCTTTAACGTTTTACATAAATTATTGACTTGGCCATCGCACTAAATAATTTAATTTACACGTGTTTGGTGTCTAAAGGTCATTTTAGCGATTTTTATAATTGTGATGTTCTCGTTTTGCATGAACGATATTGTCTATTTGATGACATTGTCTATTGACATCCACAAAATAATGATGTGGCTTTCTATTGCTAAAATAATTTTCTATTAGTAATTCAAAATCGGACGAAATCACAAACTTAACCTCTTTCTAATATTAGTATAGATAGAAGGTAACTGTTCAAATGTCGAATACACTAGCTATCTCGGTCTTGCTAAATATGCGCAAGCGAGACAAAAAGTATGAACCTTACTAATTCGGTATCAGACCAAAATATTAACAACTTTCTCTCTATCTCTTACAGCGAAGTACTAGTGCTCCTCCTAGAAAACTGGAACCCATCTATTGTGGACAAACAAGCGCAAGTCGTCAGAGATGCTATTCGACGAGCCTGTGTTGACGCTGACAGCACTGCGAGGACCTTTGGACGGAGGTAATTTGAACTCTAATTGTTAGTAACCTAAGGTCTAATTTAAAGTGCTATAAATTACGAGAGCTATCAAAGAGTCAACAAGGTTTGAAGAAGCCAACAGCACTGCTACTAAATGCTACAAAATATTTTATCTAGGCAGGTCAACGTGATTGACGGTTAACAGCATTATATTTAGACAATAATTGTGCAACGGGGCGTCTTAGCTAGCTCGGTCTGACACCCCGCTGTTTAGTACTAAGTCCCAGTTCGCCTTCTGCGATGAGGGATGTGTACCTATCCAGGATGCCTACAGGGATATTCGACCAAGGAAACGCACAATCAATAATAATTCAAGTTCCACAATGGTTTACTTATTCTAGTTTCACTGACTCTAAATTACTATTATTTAATAATGAGCAAGTTTACAAGTACTTTACGAGTTATATCACAATTTACTAATTACAACGAGAGGAATGACGACGCGCCCGGTTCGCGTCCCGAAACTAGTTTACGTATCCGCGAGAGGGGCGGCGCCCTGTGCGAGGTTTAGCGAGTGTTAGTTTGGATACTTATAACTAGGGGGGTAGGACGTGGTCCAATTAGCTCGGGTAAGGACGTGAATAGGCAGCTATCAACGATAGAACGTTTCAACAGCAACACGAAGCTTTATGGCTCCGCGGAGGTAAACGAGGTATCGAGTCAAGCCAAGTTAGTGGGAACAGTGAGGGCAGCTATTCGCTAGGGACTCTTGCGCAATTAACCGTAGACGCGCGCGCGAACGTCTGGTTGTTGCAATGGCTCCCGAGCGAATGCTAGGCGCCCGCGGTCGCCGCCGTCTCTTATATTAGCTCGGTCCGTGCGGCGTGCGGCCGCGCAGCCGTAGGGTTGTCAAAATCTCCGCGCTCGGTGCTAGGGCTGTCGATGCGTCCTGGGGCGCGTCACAATTGTAATTTTCGACCTTAAAGCATTTGTAACACTGGATGCGTTCAGCGGTCATTCACTATGACCTGACCGCAGAACGCATCCAATGTGAGAAATCCTTTATGCGTTGTATGAAATAGAAATATTTATTTGTCTTTTTATAAGGTGAACAGAAGATCGAAAACAACAAAATAAAATCACCTATCTAGCCATCAACAATAGCATGCAAATGTTATGTTTACCGACATTTTAACGAAATGGAATCGAGTTACTGTACCTATTTGTATGATGTACCTTTGTAATTTTTTCTCTCTACCCTCAGAGCGTACTGGGCCTACAAGCGACAGTTCCCCGACGAAGCCGAGCAGTTGTTCGCGAAGCTAGACATCGCAGCTCAGAAGCAGATAGAAAGAGAAAGGAATATCGGCAGCGTGGACAGCCTGCACCATGTCGGGACAGGTAATAATCGTTTAATCGCGAATTTGGCCGAACTAAGATAATGTGTTTATTTTCGAGATCGAATCAGAAATGAGGAGATCCGTAAACGAACCAAAGTGGCAATGGGCAGGGCACATAGTACGCAGAACTGACGGCCGATGGGACAGCAAGGTTCTGGAGTGGAGACCGCGTATCGGAAAACGCAGCGTGGGACGTCACCTACAAGGTGGACCGACGACATCATAAAGGTAGCAGGAAGGCGCTGGACGCAGGCCGCTACCAATCGATCAACATGGAAAGCATTGGGGGAGGCCTATGTTCAGCAGTGGACGTCCTATGGCTGAAATGATGATGATAGCCATAAGGTCCAGAAATGATATTAAACACGTTTCTTCAAGGGAAGGTAGCTTACCGAAACCGCTTTTATTGTGCAATTTTATCTATTTTACGGGTCAAAATTTGTTGATGTCTAAAATAATCGATAAGATTTAGTCACGACGCGCACAGTATCAAGTTTTTATAATAAGTACTATCGTGACATAAGTCAATGTCTCATTCATAAACAGTTGGAGCCATTTGCTAGTAACAGGAACTTCGAACTCCTCCTAATAATTTCGTTGCGGGTTCAATGCCAGTTTAACTTACTTTCCCCCGGGACAAACTTTAAATAAATAAAAAAATGTATTTATTGCCTTTGAACCATTAGACATAGGTAACTTGACCTTCACTGGTTGGGTTGTTGGCGGTCAAGCTGTAGATCCTGGCTACACAGGAGTTGCAGCGGTAGGAATAGTCCACCAGCCCATATGTTGTCCCGAAGTGGTGGTAGGGCAAGCTATATTTGGGACGTGTATAAGCGCCCTGGAAAGGGCCTATGTACTGAATAAACTATTTGTTTAGTCTATTTACAAATCTTTTCTCCTTTTTCATAGAAAGGAGAGCCATCACCAGCCCTCGAAGTCCATCTGCCAGCGTCTCAGGTATGTATAACTAAACTAAACTTATATTATTTACAAGATTTATATTATATAAAGTTTATTTACACCTATACATAGTCCATGTTAAGACTAGCCAATTCCAGAACTTATTCCAATAAATGTTTACATTCCAAAGAGGTTTTATTATTCGAAATTGATTTTTAGATTTTAAAACATGATCGGTCCTTCCAAAAGTTGTGTGAATGGTGTGTGTGTGAAATATAAGTTATAAAAGTGTAAAAAAATACCGTTGCAAAGATTTACGAATCTTTAGTTACTTTACCGAATAACTTAGGAAAGAAAGTATAGTATGAAATCTAATTATTTATGTATGTATATTAATTAATATTAATTGCGACTTTACAACAGAAATGACATTGAAAATACGCATGCATTTTTTAAATTAGAAATGATGAAATAATTTGACCTACTGCTGCTATTAAATCACTTAATTAAAATATTGATTACTGCCTGTGTAATGTTTGTGTGTATATGAGTGCCCCCTGAATGTTGAACATGTGACTTCACGTAATAAAAATCGTATAGTCTGGTCTGTGAGCACGTAGAATTTTGTCCAATGACCCCAAGCTAGGTAGCTTGGGGTCATTGGACAAATTCTACGTGCTCACAGACCGGGCTTTAGTAGTGATACTCGCCTGATCCTTTTGAATTAAGATTTTACTACTTTGGAGCTACTAAGCCACACTTTGTAGGTTTGATAACTAATACACCTTCAAGCATGCTTCCTACTCTTTCCACGAATAAAAAACTAATTTGGAAGGGCAGACCATGTTTTAAGGAAAATCTATAATTTAAAAATATTTCGATAAATGATATTTTTTTTAGATTCAAATGCAGTAATTAAAAAATGTATGCATCTATAATCTATAGGTACAGTTAAACTTAAAAACTACTTGTTTTTATACTTATTTTGCGTATACATCGTGTCCCAAAATTCAAGGATAAGCCGGCGCCGTAGGGTCATGACTAGTTTACGAAAAATGTTGTCCAATTTAAAAAAAAAACTTATTTTACCTAAAGTAGTCATGACCATGTTCAACCTACGGCCCGCCGGCTTATTGTTAAATTTTTGGACTTTGGACACGTTGTATAAAAGTATTTTTAACAGACTTCAATAAAAGGAGTTTCTTCCGACGTAGTGCGACACCGGTTTAACGAAAAATGTCCTAAATGTTCTTTCTCCTTTACTCACGATATATCTCTTTCATTTCACGCCGCTTGGATGGTTGGTAACGTAGCATCAACGGAGAACTTAGTGTCTGGAGTTAGTCGCACCAATTCTCTTAGGAGACGGCGGGCCTCACAGGAGAGACCCCCCATTTCACACATACCCGTCGCTATGAGAGGTCAGGTTCATTGGACATTGAATAGACCTTCCGTTTAGTTTTTAACGGGGTGATAAATGTGCGATCACGCTGCGATAAAATTCTTACACAGCATGCCATTTAAATTTTGTGTCCATCAACGTAAAATTGTGAATTCCGTCAGTTTATAATATAACGCGTAAGATTGTAAACTAACAGTGGGTTCAGTTAGATTGTAATCTAACTACGTCAGATTATAATATGACGGAATTCACAATTTAACGCTGATAATCCTATCCCTGCACGTAATCATGGTGAGTTCGATACTTACCTACAATGTTTTGTCTTTTCCAAGGGAAACTCAGGAACGCTATAAACTAACCCCCTTACTAATAAAAAGTTACACAGTTGTTGATCACTGTTTTAAAATGACATTTCCATACTAAACGTCACTTTAAAATACTGATCACCGAGCGTGTAAGTTTTATTAGTAAGGGGGTAACTGTTTAAATAATGTGCAATACAATATCTGCAATATTACCGAGCAATTTTGTTTGAATATAAAAAAACACATTAACGCAATATTGTTAATATTTTAAAAGAAGCAATACTGGCGGGTGATATTGCTCGATTATTCCCTACATCCCACGATATATCCACAGAGCGACAGAGCGATCGCCTGGAGCTAAAGAAAATATCCGAATTACAACAATACAGCCGAAAATATAGCAACAACATTTGAATATAACGATTTCCCAATATCGTCAAGCAATACAGCTCGTTTGTTCCCGGACAATATTGCGTGTTTTTCCCGGTCAATATAGCTCGTTATCAGCGCACGATATATCCACAGAGCGTTCGCCCGGAGGCGCTGCCAGGTCGGTGTCAGCGGTGGACGCGGCGGCGGCGCAGCGAGCCAGGGCCCGTGCGCTCTATTCGCACATGAGTAGAGCCAAGATGGCCGCCGGCACTGCGAGCCTGCGTGAGTATTGTCAACTGTCAATATTGTGCACTATATTCGGGAATATTGCCACCTCTAGTTTTCTGTTAACAGTATCTAAAGCCCGGTCTGTGAGCACGTAGAATTTTGTCCAATGACCCCAAGCTACCCATCCTTATCGCTAGCGCGTAATTATGTTGCTGTCGCGCTCGCACACTCACTGCGGGCGCCCGTCGCACAGTCGCGACAGCAATATAATGAGGATCAGTACTGTTGTAGAAAATTCAATAAAACTAGTATCTACGTTAATCTTTAAGACATAAGAAAGATATATCTTTTTGAATTATCCAAATCGGACCATTACTTACGAAGATATTAAGTAATAAACATAGGCCGTTTTTGCCGCTAAAAGTCAACGTACGCAAGGCCGCGTGACGTCATTATATCCGAATCGAGCGCAGCCGGCGTACTAATGGGATGGAAAATATTTTTTTCCGGCTAAACTATCAGTTTTAGAAAAAAACTTTTAATAACATTTATTCTTCAAAATAAAGTAACCTATCGACCAGTAATTTTTAAAAATAAAAATTGTGAAAAATAAGTATTGCTATGTCCAAAAACCACATTTTCATAGGATTCGATGCAATGCGGAGACGCGGTTGGGGTGAGTGTAACTTAATGATTGTTTGTATTGAACATAATAATACATAATATGATGCTAATACCCAGTTTCTGGCCTGGGGGGGGGGGTTCGGATCGGATATAATGACGTCATCGTCCCCGCGCCGGGCGTTCAGTGAACTTTTTTAGTAATTTGGCCATAACTTCGTCAATTTTTGTCGTAGAACAAAAATTTTTGCACTGTGTATTAAGGATTTCTTAGCCCTATAAATCTGCATTCACAGCTAAAAATCGAAATGATCCTCATTACGCGCGAGCGATAGGGATGAGTAGCTTGGGGTCATTGGACGGGATTCTACGTGCTCACGGACCAGGCTTTACACTCGACATCAAATAAATCGCACCTCCCGCAACAAGCACTTTCAAACGTATGCATCCCCACTTCCCACCAATATTGGCACCATTTAAAAGCCTAGTTCTAAACTTCATTTCATTAAAGGAAAGGTTTTTTTTACCCCAAAAATGTGTCTTTAGAAGGATCCAGAGTCACTTCTTCAAAAAATAGGTAGTTACGCTTGAGCCAACTTTTATGGCTATAAAACTGTTAAGTTGGGATTAATCGCTATCCATCTGTTAAAGAGGACACGTATGATCATTTTTTGGTTTTATAACCATAAAGTTTGGTCTAATTGATCCCAGAGGTGAACCCAAAGTGAGGACTTTTTTCAAGTTACATTTATGGTATATCGCGTTTATGTTAATCATTTATTAAGAAATTAAATGTGTTTTTCTTTAAGGATATTTATGGGGCTTTCAAATAACACCAATATTGTTGGGGCACTATGATTGTGTCAGAAAAAAATCTTTAAAGTTCGCGTCGCGGAAGGTGCGGTTTATTTGATGTTGAGTGTATATTCGACAATATTGCCACCTCTAGTTTTCTGTTAACAGTAACTACTTGAGTTTATCTTCGTGAATGTTTTAGTTTATTTCGTATTGATATCCCAGTTAAATACCGTTTGATAAATTCAAAAACATTACTCGCATATTACTTTGGCTTGAATTTTAAGACGAAGCTCAAGATTCGCTTTAAACTTAACAATTCCATATCCTAAACTTGCATCTATAGAGATTGAGTCGAATTTGAGCATGTCTTTTTGGAGTAAGACCCTTTTTAATTAATTCATATTATATTTATTTAGTTAATTAAGTATTCGAACATTATAATGATTAAAAAGTAATGTTTCTGAATTTTCAGCGCCAAGAATGAGCAATTGAACAGAAGATAGATGTAGTTACGAATAAATAATGTCGAAGTATATAATTTATGTAAATATTGTATTTTACGCCTTACCGAAGAGGGGGAAATGGCACAACAAGGTATCTATGTAGATAGGAGCCTGAAAGAAAGCTCAGAGTGATCGCTATGCGTCATAGATCGTTTCATCCACGAAGACGCGCCCCACCATTCTTCCGCTAATGTTTGAGTGTTATCGGTACACGCTGAATGCTCCATGAGTGCACACGCACACTACAGTAATGCCTTACGGATTGCTCGGACCACACTCCCCGCACCCCGCGCGACCGGGACCAAACATGGGGCGCGGCCGAGTGGATGAAACGATCTATAACTATCGAAATCCTCGTCTTTAGTCACTCTCTGCTTTCTAACGCCAGACTCTAGTAATTAGAGGCTTCATTTGTTTAAATTCGCTTTAATATTTAATCGGTTTAAATAATCGGTTTTAAATACTACAGTAACAGACCACTGCCTTGTTCTTTTGTCAATTATAAATAAATATCAACAAACGACACCTCAAAAATATAAAACCGTAGTTAACTATGATAATGCATACAAGAGTCTGGTAGATGTTGACGTCTCCTTCTTTAATGTTTTTAAAGATCCTGATACGTATGCCTTTGCACTAATAGAGATGGTAAGGTCGGCTATCCTGTCCAACACTAAAAAACTAATTGTTACGAATAGCAAAAGAACCATAAAACCCTGGATTACCACAGGTGCATTACGGTGTATTAGATTGAGAAACACTATTTACTTAAAACTAAAATCAAACCCCCAAAATGAAATCTTAAAGATAACTTATAGACGCTATCGTACTTTCTGCGGGAACCTTGTTAAGAAACTAAAAACTAAGTACAACAAGGAAAAAATCAAAACATCGTCACATAACCCCCGAGCCCTCTGGTCAGCCATTAATGACATCACACATTATAAGCCTCCCAAGAGCCCAAATGATGACCTACTTAATTTAAAATCATGTCCACAAACTTCAATCAATCATGTAAACAAATACTTTGTAAACATTGGACAAAAACTTGCTGAGAACATCTCGAATACCATCGAACCCTCAGAGTCATGTAATGCAGACAACTATCATCACCTGTCCTCTTTTGTATTATTAGATACCTCTCACAAGGAAGTGGAAAGTATTCTGATGTCATTGGACTCTAAGAGTGCACCAGGCTGGGACGGAATCCCTACCCATTTTCTAAAACTCACTAAGGATATTCTCGTTCCTCTCATTAGTAACCTTGCCAACCTGTGTTTTAAGACGGGAATCTTCCCATACCTTTTTAAACGTTCCATAGTTACTCCTGTGTATAAGAGTGGAGATAGCGACGACGTCAACAACTATCGACCCATCTCTGTGTTGACTTCGATCTCTAAAATCATTGAGAAACTATTAAACTCTAGAATAGTGAGCTACTTGACCAAGTACAATATTTTATCTACCTCTCAATATGGGTTTAGAAAGGGAATGTCGACACAGGATGCTATCACGGATCTCACATCTGTCATAACAAAAGAAATAGATAAGGGTAATAAATGCCTCGCGGTCTTTCTTGACCTCAAGAAAGCCTTCGACACCGTCTCTATCTCCATTCTTATACGTAGGCTGGAGAGTATCGGATTCCGTGGATCTGCTCTTTCCCTTCTCAGCAGTTATCTTCAAAACAGAAAGTAGGGTGTAAAAATCGTCAACTTTCTGAGTGACGAAGAGAATGTTACGTTTGGTGTCCCTCAGGGCAGTGTTCTCGGCCCGACGCTCTTTTTGATATACAGTGTGTCCGGGCATGTAATGATCAAACTTTAAGGGCGTAATCTATAGACAATTTTATCGATGAAAATACTTCAAATTTGGGCCTTGACCCATTTCTCGCAAAATTACAAGGATTTAAGTTTTTAATTTTTAGTTTTCACCTCTTCCTTCAAAAACAAGTGAAAACGTGGGTAACTTAACATTAATAAGCAAATATTTTATATCATGCGATAGCCAATAAAATTATCTACTAGTAGAAGTAGAAAACAGACACAAGTTTCATACATTTTAAGAGAGTAAGAATGGATTTAATTAGAAAAAAACATGACTTTTTTCGCTTTATTTTCAGTTATTTTCCAACACAAGAAAAACCAGGTCGTTAAGGTATGTTTTATTTGCATTGTATTATTAGTATTTGAGCCATTCTACAAAACGAATGTAAATTTATTAGTCTACGTCTATTAGTTTCGACGTAATTGTTGAACAAATACTTACTGTCAGGAAACTATATATTTTGCATTTGACACTAAGATATCATAAAACGCTACCTCTTGATAATGCTAAACTCAGTAAAAGAAGGTGCGATATCGTGGCCCCTACCTATCCTTCGCGAACTGTCTTTGCCACTCGGCAAAACTTATCCCAAGCCCCCCACGTTTATAATAAAATTAATCGCATTCTTAATATTTACCCCAAGTTACTGTTTGAGTGTAAGAAATGTCTCACTGATTGGCTTTTTACACTCGATTACGTTGAGGTGGAAAATATTTTCGTAAGAATTAGTTGAAGTTGAAATTGACACACAACATAACATACACATCACACCCATGCACATTTGCCTCATATCTACATACATATTTTATACTCTCATCACACCCATGCACACTTACCTCACTTGTACATTTACATACATATACTCACATTACACCCATGCATATTTACCTCACATTTACATACATATACTTACATTACACCAATGCACACTTACCTCACATTTACATACATAAAATATACTCACATCACACCCATGCACACATACCTCACATTTACATACATACACACCACACCCATGTACACTTACCTCACATTTACATACATACACATCACACCCATGCACACTTACCTTAATTATAACCTTGTGTACTTAACAATGTAATTACTACTAGCAAATCTATCACGTAAATCTAATTTGTAACTAAGGTGGAAGAGCGAGGTACTCCCAACACAAGTATCTTACGATTACTTTCTGGGAGACCCCGGTAACTTTATTGTAAATGATTTACAGAAATAAACAATTTTTAATTAATTTAATTTTTAATTATTTTAATCCCAATTTTTCCATGAATTACCAGTGCGGTACCTACCCAAACCAGGCCACCTCAAACGATATGAAAAGTTATTATCAAGATCAAAATCACTATAATTCCAGAAGCAGACTACCTTTTACTCCCTGTTTATAGTCAACGAAGTCGAAGTTAAGCTGTGGATAATCCACCGCTTAAAATTTAACTGCCGAGCGTAAAACGCTTCTTTTAGAAGTGTTGGATCAGAGTTAAGTATCTGGAAAGATGGATTTTATGTACAATTTGCTATGAATTTTTGAGGGGGACAGATTAGTTTGATTTTTGATTTGTTTTTTACGCTCGGAAAAGATGGTAAGCCTTGTCGAAGGTATAGCCAGTATAGCCAATTCTCGTGCATTAAGAATATGCATTCACGAATAAAGGAAAATCTTTAAATTTTTCCTGTAGTCTCCCTTGAGATGAATGGTAAATAAAATAAAGGGGAAACACAAAACAATAATGTTTTTGGCCCATTATGGGGGTACTTTTATTGATAACACTGGCCTACAGCCATTTTGGTGCCGGGGATTTAAGACCTGATTTTAAGTATGTCTTGCATGGCGATATCAAAAATGTAATCAGTTTCTCTATCAGCTCTAGTTCCCGAGATAACTAAAAAACAATTTTCACAATAAATATATATTTTTATTAGCATTAAACATCAAGAAATTGTCTTTTGAGTGATTTTTTCGAATGAAAGTTACTTGGACAATCTCGCATGATTCTCCAACAGTAGTCGGTCATCATATGAGCGTCCCATCTTCCTTGGTAACTATTCTCCATTGTTTTTATGTCTCGGTGAAAACGTTTTCCTTGTTCTTAGCTTAGTTCTCCTAAATTTTGTTGGAATTGATCTAGTTTACTGTTAAAATAGTGTAATTTTATACCTATATAACAGGCCATATCTTTGAATTGAACCAGCACATCCTATACTAATTCTACATAGTTGTCAGCCTTATGCTTTCCGAGGAAATTTTGTACAACTGCTACAAAAGATTTCCACGCAAACCATTCCACATCGTTCATAGAAATCTTAAATTTAGTGGAGTCTTTTATTAATACAGTTATTTGAAGTCCATCAAATATACCTGATTTTAGTTTTTCAGTACTTAAACTTGGAAATTTCTGTTAAATTAACTGGAAATATTGGCCATTTTCGCAATATCATAGGCACTCCAAGCTTCAAAAACTTACGTGTGCCTTTCTAGTATCTTCGCAGATGTTCAACGCACATTATACATACAATTTGAGGCACCTACACCTTATCTTTGTATTGAATTTCAATACCGAAGTAAGCAAAATACAAAAAATTCGCCGTGTTTTTAATGGTTTTACGCTGATATTTCAGTAGTACTTATTCACCACAAACTTATCAAAATGAATCAGGATCGTTAACACAACATCTGGACGTACTATCCATAACTAAATAGTAACATAAAGTTTATCGATGTTATTGTAATAATGACTATTTGCGAACAAGACGGGAAAAAACCTAAAATGAGGGTAGTCGACAAACTAGAGCTGATGAGTTGAAATGAAGTATGTCAATATATTGTAGATTACCCATATTATCGATCGTATATACAAAAAGAGCTGCACCAAAAAAAATATGTTTTTTTGCAGGCCTGTGTAATCCTTTCAAGGGAATTCTTCGCTTTTTACATTTTTAGTAATGTATAGTGGGGAATACTGATATTATAAAATTACTAGCTGTGCCCGCGACTTCGTAAGCGTGAAAGTAGTTTCCCGTTTTTGCAACATTTTTCATTACTGCTCCGCTTCTATTGGCTGTAGGGTGAAGTTTTATAACTTAAAGCTTTCCTCGATAAATGTGCTATCCAACACAATATTTTTCCAATTAGACCAGTAGTTC